TCAGAATAGTGCAAGCCATGGTATTCCCTGTGACACTCTATGAAAGTGAAAGTTGGACCTTTGAAGAAGCAGGATAGAAAGAGTACTGATGCTTTTGAACTGTCGTGTTGGAGAAGACTCCTGAGAATACCATGGACAATTAATAAAACCAACCAATAGATCATTGAACAAATCAACCCAGTCCTCCCTCAAGGCTCAAATGACCAGGCTCAAATTATCCTACTTTGGACACATTATGCAAAGAATAATGAACCTTCTTTGGAAAAAGTTCAAATGCTGACTTCCAGGGAACAAATGGCAAACTGAAGATGGCTTTATTAAAAGCAAGTAGACCCTGGAATTCCTCTCACCTACAAGTGCTCCAGACAGCAGTCTTCAGCAGGTTTAGAAGTCTGGAAGATGAGGGAATAGCCATCTTGCTCAAACTATGGTTAGTGCCTTCTTCTGGGGCTCTGGGTTCACATACTTCCTTTTCTAATCAATTTAAGAAATTGCTTCTTAACTGCTTTTCAGGTATTAGGAACCTTTGGATTGACAAATTTTACAGTACCAGGTGAGTTTCCTTCAATCCTTAGCAAAAGAAGTTTTAAATACAAGTTTAAGGACTTAAAATTTATTTTAATTATTTTGGAATAAACAGCAAAAGGGTGATTAGAACTTTGATTTTGGAAAGTTACAAACAGATTAAGAGTCCAGATGGATTTGAAATAAGTTTTGGAATTAATTATAAGAATCCTTCTTGTGGGAAAATGCTTTTGTTTTGAATACTTAAAAAAAAAAAAAATGATAGGATGAGATTTTGAAGGTTGGACACTAGAGGGAACTAGAAGGAACTAAAGATTGTAATTAAAGGAGAAGAACACTTAAATTTGACTTACTAATATAGAATGAAGCAAAATATTTTAACATTGGACATACTGAAGGATATTTTTGAACAATGGATCCAGAACTTAATTTTAAGAGTGTCTGTCACTATAGATAGACTATGTTTAAAAGATGCTATGGAAGAGGAACATGTTTTACCAGACAAGACTGAAACTGATCTGAAAGTGGATTTAAAATGGCAGGCTACAAGAATGGTATGGAAAAAGATGCTACACTGGACATACAAAAGAAACTGGCTAATGTCTTAATAATTAAAAGGGATATACAAAGAACAAACCAAGAGAGTGATCTGGATAATTTTCCTATTTTGGATATAAAAAAGAGCCTTGCTAAAGGCTCTCATTTTTTCTCTTTTCTATTTCTTTTCTCTTTTCTTTTTCTTTTCTGTACCTTCTATTGTTTCTTTTTATTCTTTTATTTTTAAAAGTTTGTATTAGTTTTTTATCATTGTAATTATAATTTTTAATAAAATTATTAATAAAAAAAGAAAAGGCTCAAATGCTAGGAAAGGTGGAAAGAAAGAGAAGAAGAGGACGACTAACAGCGAGGTGGATAGACATGGTTACAATGGCAATAAATGCACCATTGGAAGAACTAAAAGACCAGGTTAGGGATAGATTGTCATGGAGTAAAACTATCTTTGTGGTTGCTAGGAGCTGAAAAGGACTTGATGGCACATAATCAAATCAAACAAAAGCGAACATTACTTTGGTTACATTACTCAATTCACTTTTTTAGCTCTTAGATTTTTTAAAATGGCTATCCAAAATGTTGGTTCCAAAGAAACATCTCAGATCTGCCTTCCTCATTCCAACATTAGTAATCAGTTAAAGAGTTATAGACCACAGTGGAAGGAGAAGACTGTTTATGATACCCATGGTTTACCCACACAAGATGCTCACAGGGAGAAACATCAACATTTTAATTTTTTTTTCATGTAGTATTTAAGTGTTTGGGCAATACTTTGTATTTTGAAATAAATAATAATAATAATAAAAAGTAAGGCTATCAGATTTTGGCTGTAAAAATCTGGATACCACTAGGTGGTAGCAAACAATTAATTTTCTGTGCTTTTGCTGCCTAGAGGTCACTCTCAGCATGACTGAGCCTACCTGTTGTATTTATCCACCTGCACAGCCATTGCCTACCCACTAGGCATATGCCTAGGTTTGTCTGTGGGTATGCAACAGCCATGCAGCAAATTAGAATCAAGCTTGTTTTAAAGACTAAAGGTCCACCTGGAAAGGCTTATGCCTGTGGCCTAACAGCCCTTTGAGGCAGGCAATGTCAACAAACATAAGCAGTAGGGATTTCAGGAATCTTTTATTGTTTTAGGTAGGATAACAGAATCTTGAAAGACCATCAGAGTATCTGTCTGCCTGTGCCACTGAAACTGGTTGTGTCAACACAACTATGAGCTTAATTAATAATCAGAATTCTAAATATAGGTTCAAGATTTACGTTACATTTAAACTCTGCATACCTGCAAAAATGTTTATGTTTCTTGACAATAAGTGAATGAGTATAAGCCCAATATTTATGGGTGCTGGGCCAAACATTTACTCCTTTAAAAGTATGGATGGAGTGGCAAGACTACAAAGGCCACTTTTTCTGTGCTAGCCACTCTTGTTGACTTACCTGTCTCTGCAGCACTGTATCGCACCATGCCACCTTGCTTCTCTGTTAGCTAACTAACTTAACAGTATTGCCGCAAACTGCAATTGAATCTTGAGTTATAGGGTGGTCCTTTCCAGAAGGGACCAAGTTTGCCAATCAGTCATACCAAATCTCCAGGCACTGAGGTGATTGGAAATAGCAAAGCAACAACACCCTTTATTACCAAGTCATATAATTACAGAATCATGGAATTGGAAGGGACTTTAGAAGTTATCTAGTTCATGTTCAGACTATGATCTACTAGAGAAGATCTGACAGATGACCATCCAGCCACTGTTTAAAGACCCCCAATAAAGGAGAACTCAACATATCATGTGGCATCCTATTTCACTGGCTGACATCTCATTCAGTTAGAAAATTCCTCCTGATGTCCAGCCTGAACCTACTTCCTTGTAATTTTAACCTACTGGTTTGGGTTCTGTCCACTTGTACAAAATAAAATAAATCAATTTTCTCTTTTGTGTAACAACTCTTCAGATATCTGCATATTGCTATCATACATCCCCTCAATTGTCTTATCTATAGCCTAAACATATCAAAATTCTTTTACTGTCTGCTTATTTCCAGAACCCTCATCATTTTAGTGGCTGTTCTACGGTAGCCTGGATGGCAACAAACAGGAGGCAATTAGCATGTTTCCAAGTTTTGTTCACTTGGAATTAAATCAGTTAACAGATAACACTGAGCTAGAAGCTGTAAAGTAGGAAGAAGTATATATTCAGTAAAGTCAGTGTTCTTGCCTAGAATTTGAAGCAAACCACCTTTGAAGTCTTCTGAACAAGAACAGCCAAAGGATAAGGCACATCGGTGTTCAGAAGATTCTGGAAATCAAAAAGGTCCAAATCATCTAGCCTCAAGTTCAAAAGCTGAAAATTTATCTGCAGGACAAAGTATCAGGAATGTGAAGCCAAATGAACACATGTCCAGGAGTAGAAAATGCTTGCCCAGGATCACTCCTTAAAACCTGTGCATTTTTTATTTTGAATATAGCATTTCAGTCACAGAGGCAATCTATGCATAGAAACAATTTTTGAACTACTTCTGTATAATTCAATATTCTAGAAGTTATTAGCTCCTTTACTTAGTTCCCTATAGCAGTTACTCTTAGAAATATCTGGTGGCTTTAGGAATGAAACTAAGAGTAATTGTAATACAGAAATTATTAAACCTGTTTCTTCTATATTGATTCAAATACGAATTGATTATGTGCCATCAAGTTGGTGTTAAATCTTAATGACCATATTAAGTATAGACACATGACAGCATCTGAATATTTTTCAAGGCCTTCATTGCTACTCTACCACCTGCTAGTCTGCAGTGTAATTCTTGACTGCTGGTTGATAGTTGATCCTAAGAGGCAGAAGGTCTACCATTTCAGTATCTTCATTGTTGATTCTAAAGCTGGTTACTTTACCTTAATCATAAGTCTGATCTTATTTATATTTAATGTTAGTCCCATTTTTGTCACTGTGCTCCTTGACTTTCATTACTAGACAATGCAGATTATTTGCATCTTCAGCTACCTGAGTACTGTCATTAGCACAGTGCAGGTTATTGATGTTTATTCCTCCAATTTTAAAACCACACTCATCTTCTTCCAGTCCAGGCTTCAATATGCATTGTTCAGATTAGCTAATACTGACATCAACTGTTTGATTGAAATCATACCTTCTAACTCAGTTTATTAAATACATAAATTATCCTAGACTCATTGAATGCATAATTCATTCTCAAAGGATTGTATATGACATATTTTATTAATTTATTCTAAATAAAACTTTCATATATATTCAACCAAAAATTCTATAACTCTTCATCTATAACTTTTTTGATTCTCGTGTCATGGGATTTATCCCATTGTTTTCTTTTTTAGATATGTCCAGACCATGTCAGTCATTAATATCTTTTATATCACACAAATTATGGATTTCATGTTTTCCTTCTTTGTGTCTTTTCTTCTCTCTATTTCAATTCTTTGCATTTCAAAGTATTCTGTATGCAAAATATTTCAGTCCTATTGGCTTGCTGGTTTAAGGCAAGATAGCTTTGCTTCTTTGTGAGGATGGAACAAACACTTTTTGCAATTATAGATTTCAGCAGACTATTTTACAGACTTTTTGTGATGGAGTTATGACACATGTTATCAACGATTCATTCCTAGATTCAACATGCCTGTGTTGTATTTGCTTACAAGATCAAACAGATATTAGATGGATTGTAATAAATTGATTAGGATTTGCATATCCTCCTGCCCCCCAAAACTAAATACAATCCAAAGATATGAACGTCTTTGTTTTAACAGCTATGGTGATGACTAATCCATTTATCAGTTAGTACTTCCTGTGTTACCTTCCTAGGTTTTGCATAAGGGAAACAACAAATCGTACAATAGAGATTGCACAGTTAACAGTTTAAATATTCTTTGTTCCACAGTTCAGTAGAGAGCAGGTCATCTTTTCAGCTGAATCTTAAGAATTAATCTGGAAACAGTTTTTATACATAAATGGAATTTCAGTATTTCCATGGAAATATAACTAAAGAAAAGTGTGAAGAATTACTGAGCAAAGTAGGAATAAATGGAAGTTTTTTAGTACGAGACAGTGAGAGCATACCTGGAGCCTTGTGCCTTTGTGTTTTGTAAGTACTACTTTTATGTAACTAAGATAACTCCTTTCTATTGGTTAAATGAAAGGATTCAGTTACAAGAAATGCAGATGTTTAACTTAATCTGGCATTATATAAAGACAGCTTGAACATGACTAATGTTTTTATGGATTGAGTTACATTTTTTAGATGCTTGCACTTTTGAGAACCAACTACCATCTGTTTTCAGGAAACTGAGAATTTTGTTCCAGGCACATATACCTAGTGGGAGTGTATACATAAAACTGATTTCGCTTTATTATAAACTGCAGTGTATATCTAGCCCAAATTTAAATGTAGAAATAAACACAGTAAAATGTGCATTAGTGCTGTTTTTGGAAGTGATACATTTCAAATCATTATAGATTCAAGATAATGGTACCTAAAGTTCTATCCACAACATCTGGTGAAATCCTTACAACATATTTTTTGGGAATTAAGTACACCTGGTTGTTCTATATTGACTGGGATGTCTCCCAAATATGACTGTTCTAACTTGTCACTATGGATATATTAATTTGTAAGTATCTTTTCTCCTCCAGAATTGTGGAAACAGATTTTTACTTCAATCTTGCTGTGGAGGTGTTTTCATACATTTGTTTAGAATTTTCACATCAGAAGAAAGTTCCTGTATTATTTAGCTGATATCTATTTCTAGAAAACTAAAACTTAATTGTTGTTGCATGTTTGTAAGTGACAAATATACACATTTTGTGCATACTTATCCCTTTATGGTTATCAGTTTTCAGCCCTGTATGATTCTTCAGTGTTTTGACTTTTCTAGTTTATGAATGTACGCTTTGCTAATACACTTTCCATTCTAAAAATTAGTTATGAACACCTTATCTACACTTACCGAATCTTCAGGAAAAATAATGGACATCTTATGATACAGGTAAGAAAATGTATATAATTTAAAATAATTTAGTAAATATGCTAATTTATTCCTTATTCCTTAAATGTAAAGAAATATAAATTTAAGACTCCTACCAGATTTTATGCCATTTTACCCAGCTGGCAGGGGGAGGTGGATGTTAAACTAAAATGCCCTTGGATTACCTTGTTTTCCAACTTCATGCATTATAAATTGTGTTGAATAACACTCCTTACCATTGATAGCCTGGATTCTATACAGTATTAGGATAAAAAAAACTGCTGAAGGTCATAGTTTGGCGGTATTTTAAAAGATATGCTACATTAGCTATAATCTTCTCTGAAATGAATCTATTTCAGTCATCACTTATGTTTTGGATATGGTTAATATGGTTTTGAATTAAATGTAAATTTAGCTGCAATATGCTTATTTTTTAGACATCTGAAGGTACTCCGAGGCTTGTCTTTAGAACATTAAATGATTTAATTGACAACTACAAAAAGCCAAATCAAGGGCTAGTAATCAATCTGTGCTATCCTGTAAATCGTTCTCCTTACCATCAGGAAACTCAGACTGTGTATGTCACTAAAGATGAAGCATATGCGATTCCAGGTAAGAGCTAAATATATATAAAGGTGGTAAATTCCAATAGGCATGTTTCAAATTAAGAAAATCATCAACATAGACTACTAAAGTTTGCTTTCATGAATGAATGAGAAAGAAAGAAAGAAAGAAAGAAAGAAAGAAAGAAAGAAAGAAAGAAAGAAAGAAAGAAAGAAAGAAAGAAAGAAAGAAAGAAAGAGAGGGAGG